CATTATTACTGTTTCTGTAATTTCTTGAAGGTCATTTGAGTAGCTGTTAGAGAAATGTCTTTTAGACCATTTTATTTCCACAGATGTATACTCCCAAGTGCAAAAATCATTTTTGAAAATGGAATTTTCTTTTTTTTAATGGTTATGTTAGAACTTGGTAAGTTTTGTTCCTACAAGAAGTTGTGGAAAAGAAGATAAACATTAGATTTTTAAGGAATACATCTTACGAAGTATTTTCTGTTCATTTGCAAAGAAGGCAAAACAACAGACAGGCAAACATATGTGAATAAAGCTATGCTTATTTAAAGTACTTCTAAAAGTACTTTGCATTGATTTACTAACTTTAAACAGCCTGTAGAACAAGTTGGTATCATGTTAATCCCCACTTTGGCTCAGTTGCTCACTGAAATCAAGAACTGACTGCATATGTAGTTTGTGATAGCATTTGGGGTGAGTGCGTGAAAATAAAGGATCTTGGTTATCTTTTGAAATAGTTTAGTGAATTTTCTAGAAAAACCTTGTATTTCTATTTTTAGAGGTGACTTCTATGGAAACGCACAAAGCTTGGTGGTAAATTGACATTCTTTTCATGATTGTACAGATAATACTGAAGAGTACTATCCTTCCTTCTGGTTTAAAAGAAACTACTTAAAATTATCGGAACTATGGTAATTTCAAGTCTCCGATGTGTGAATTATTTCTGATGAGTCCATTAAACATAGCTAAGAAAAAAAAAAATCTGTTTTCAAGTTGTGTGGGTTTGCTTCTCTTGGAAACATACAGAAACTGGTTTGTAATAGAAACATTGGAAACAATTGCATTACCACTTTTTGTTTACTTGCAGATATTGGGTATTAAAACAGATGAGGGGTTTTGAGTTTTCAGTGTCCTAAGCTTAATTATAGAAATCCCAACCTGTAAAACTCAACTGAGTTAGGTGGTTCACCTAGTACACAATATCCTATGGATGTGATTAATAGTTTTACTGAGTTCAGCTGTGTTACAGGCTTATTCAACACTAGTGAGAAAGTATGGGTAATATGTTACTGCTACCTGTAGAGGGAGGGATTTAATCTGTGACTTGAAAGTGTATGCACATCTATGATGATGTAGTGTATTTCTTCTGGAACCCTTGATATTCCAGAACACATGAAATATCTGTGGATTTGGTGTCTTTTTAAGACTCCTGGCTTTCTTGTAACTCTGATGATCATTAATGATAGCTGAATTTCAAAACTTTAGTTAACATGAAGGATTCCAAGATTTATCAAAACAATTTTGAATTAGAATTGAGAATTGGAAGCATTGCAATAACTGGCTGATATATTTGTAACCATATTCATCTCTGAAAGAATTACAAGCCCAACAAATCAATTAAGCAGTGTAATATGGTAGCAGATGAAGCTTAAATTTGGAGTTTACTGGAGTAATCAATCTATCTTGGCATCTTCGAGGGATAGTACTTTCAAATGTCACAAGATACTACCAGAAACTCCCTTTTAGGCATTTATTGATGGTCTGGTAGGAAATGGAGACAAGACTTGATTTCATTTACCAATAACCACTATCTAGTCAAATAGACTAGATAGACCCAGAATGTTCTGGGTCGGCTTGCTTTTTGTAGGAGTATAGCCAAATTTTTTTGCAGAAGCTTCATTTGGTTGTAGAAAGGTAAAGAGAAATATATGCTAAATTTCTTAAGAGCTGAGTATCTCTAGAGTAATTCTGTTTGCAAGAACAGTTGTTGGTTTCATTCTTTTAATTTTCAAATCTACTTGGAACCTGAAGCTAGAGGTGTCATTTTTGATGAATGCATAATTAACAACACTTAATTTAAATAATGCTGAAATCTAAAATCATTAATGGTGCATTATGGCAGGGTTATTTTGGTGAAGTCATTGCACACAGATGCACCCCCAGCATAAAATAACAGTTTTGGTCAAAAGCATTAGTGATGTTTGCAACAGATTTTTAGAAATTGGAGTATTTTGCAGAACATTAGTGCCTGTAGTCTTCTGATGTGGAAAAATCAGTGGGATCACAGGAGGTTTGGATTCTGTCCCATGTTTGTTTTATTTGATTTGAAAAATGTACATAAATGCAGATTGACCTAATGCCAACAGTCTGCAACAGTAACAAATAAATAGCCAATTTTTTTGCACTTTTGTTTTGTTTTGTTTTGTTTTCAAATTTTTCCCTTTTAACTCTAGGCCTAAACATACCATCTGAAATGTTAGCAGTTCTTGTATGGATACAAAAAAATGGTGGTTGGATTCCAAAATCAAAGATTTCACTGAGCAAGCCCTCTGTCAGCCTCTTACAAATGCACCTTTTCATTTCAGTTGTCTCTCCTTATCCCTGTCACCACTATTAGGAGATGAGGAGGGAGTTGTTCCCAAAAGAGACAAGTAATTTGCTGGAAATAGATTTTAGATCAACACATTTGATTACAAGGAGAAATCAAGCTGAGCTAGTGCACTTTGTGCAACACAGGTCTATGTTCTCTGCAAGAGACATGGTTAAAATCAGCAAACAATCATGCTCTGTAGCAGCTGAGACATCCAGATGGTCTCAGTTTATCCCTCATTAAAACACATTTCAGTGTTCCAATCTTTAGATAAAGATAGGCTTGAATAGCTGTGGCAAGGCCCATATCCTAAAAGAGAGGTCATAAGCTTTTATTTAGACAGTTACAGAAACTACATCTGAAAGCAGCCCCTGCCTTGGCTGTGCAGCAGTGCGCGTACCCAAAGCAGGCATTTTGCAAGCTGTTCAGCTGGGCAGGTTAGACAGGGTTGTGGAAAAGCCAGCAATTCCTGGTGATTTCTGCAGTGCTGATGCATAGTGGGCTCTTGCCTGTCTTCCACCGGTGTAAGCAGGCACTTGAGAACAGTTACTGTCTTTTTCCTTCTCTGCATGTATTAGGGCTCCCGGTTTTGGTGATAGCCCAGGACTTGACATTCCTGCTGTAACTCCTTGCCAGCAAAAGCAGCACTGCAGTATGATGCTGTCAGTGAGTGCTGCAGCATGTGCACCTGGCTCATCTCAGCAGCCAGGGAGATAATGAGGGCCCCACTTGTGCTGAAATGTGAGTATCTGCTGAAGGGCTTTGCTGGATAGGCTATGTATCCTGCAGCTAATTATGTCATTAATTAATCTATTATCCAGTGATGACCTGCAAGAGAGCTGTTGAGGGGATGAAGAAAACCTATATAGAAACTCTTAAACTATTTATTTCCTGTATTTTGATAACTCCCCATTGCTGCTTTGTAGCCAGAGTGCTTGTGTAGAGGTATACCTTGGTCAGTGAGAAAATTCCAATTTCTTGTTCTGTTTCTTCCATATATGCAGATAACTAATGTGCAGAGTGGGAAGATTAATCTCTCTGTTCCCCCTTGCAGCCCCTAAAGAAGTTACAGCACGATAGTTTCAAAAGAGAACATTTTATTTTTAAGTTGCTATTAGTAGAACAGAAAATTAAAAGCTCATCACGGTTAGGATGAGATCCCGATTGAACCTGACAAGGAAGAAGATCTTTAATAAAAGTACCAGGCACGATGATGGCTTTAAAATAAATCTGTGTGTTAATAGCTAAATTGCGAGGCGATAATCTGATGGTCTATTTAAAAACGTGCAGAAGGAGGATTTGTGGGAGGATTTTTAGCATGACCCCATAGATAATGTATGGCTGTTCCTATGTCCTGCCCTAGTACTTACACTTTTTTGGCTAATTGTATGATTTTAAGGTTGGGCAGCAGAGTTATACATAGCTGTGATCACTTTTTATCCATCAATTGATGTCTGCTGCTGTTTTATCAGCTTATTTTTTTCTGAGCCACCAGCGAGGATAATGTGCTTGAGGGAAAATTATACCCTACATCAGTGGTTTCGTTACAGCATGTTGTACATTATTGGTAATTTGAATGCATCCAGATAAAAATAGAAAGGTTAAGTAGTTTTCCAAACGTTGCTGCTATGAAGCAGAAAAAGAGTAGTGTCTGTACCGTGTATGTGTTTGAGGGAAGAACACTGCTTTTTCTTTCAAAACTGCTTGCTAAAAATTAACACTTTCCTTGGAGCTGAGTATAAGGACATGTTTTCTTCTGAAATGCTGCTCCCAAAACTCTTTCTGGCCTTTCTGATTAATTCTTAGGATTGATGAGTGTGTTGTGCCAGCTTTTGTATACAGGTGCATGTGCAGAAATGCACCCCCCTGGAGTGGGGGTTTGCTGCCCGCAGGGGCTGCAGTCAGAGCAGTGCCATCCCTGCACCCAACCCCCAGTCTGGCCACCCCACTGCAGCCCTCAGGTTCACTCTGTTAGCTTTCTTCCACTGGTGGTGAATGCTTCTGATCTTCCTCAGCTGTTCTCAGGTGAAAGGAGCAATGCAATTTTCTGTAAAACTCTAATTTGTCACTTCTTTTTCAAAACATCTTTTTGATTCTCTGAACAGGCTGCGTAGAGAGCATTTAGCAAAAATGTTGTATTGTGAGAGAGTTGACTGATGTACTTTCATTCCTAGGTGAATGTCCTATTTAAAATCACTGCAGAACATTGCTGTACATGTTTCAGCTAATGCCCACTGAGATTTAAAACCTCCTTTTGGCTGCTCTCTTTCTTAAGAGCGACCTTGGCTGAAGGTTCCTATTGTAAAATCAAGTCCTTGCAGGGGTTTTTTTCTCTCTCATCCTTTCACGTGGATTTATGTGGTGCTGACTTATCTCTCCAGTAGCCCCACTTCTGTTTCACTGCGGTTAAAATGTTTATGGTTATAAATTACTGAGGAGAACAAATGTTTATATTTGATTTTCTTATTTTTTAAAAATTTAGGTTCTGTTGTTACCTCGGTGCTTCCCTTTCTTCAACCCTGATTAAAGAGCCAAGTAATCACATCTGGTTTTCATGTCAGGTGATAGAAATAAGCGAGCTAATGACCTGCCATGCATGCTGGAAAAAAAGCAGGAGTTCTGGGTTCTACTGTGAGACAAGGGATGGATGAGGTGCTTGCTCAGTCCCTTCTGGTTCCTTTGTCTGCTCTCTTAAAGAACTGGGAAGAGACTTGAAGCAAACCTTGGTTTCAGTTGCAGTATATTGTTCTTACTTTGTGCTACCTGCAAAACCTGGGCGTCCTGAAGAGCATTTGCATTTGAAGCTGGAATTCAGAGCTGGCAAGGCTGAGGTCTGTGTTGGTAGCAGTAACAGGTAATTCCACCTTTTTAATTTTATGTAACTATTATTATTTCTGTCGATTTTTTGGAGTACGATGGAAACATGATTTTGAAGAAAGGCAGTGCTTGCCTTCTGCTATCTAACTTATTTTCTGTAAGATGTAGCAAAGCTAAAGGACTATTTTCCTCCATTGCTGGGGCTTGCATAACTGGGCATTGAGAGCTCAGTGGCAGAAAGGAGATTCAAACAGGTGCTAAGTCTAATAGGAACCTAATATGTGTCAGTGGCTTTACAATTCTGATAGCCTCATTTGTCAGTAAGTTGTAACCTTTTAATGTTTGAATTCAAATTTGTTACGCTTTCACAAGCTGCCCTTGGATTCTGAGCTTTAGGGAAAGCTTTTAAAACTTGTGCAGTTTGAGCAGATCTGTGGAGGCAAGATGGCATCACATTTGTGGTGTATGGTCAAAGCAGGGTAGTTGGAGTATCTGTGACTGGCACCTGCTGGGTTCATGCCTTGTCCAATGGGATGATGTCTAAGAATAGCTGTTTACTTAAACAGCCCACCTGACATTGGAAATGTTCAAGGTGGCTGATGTTCTTGTGCTGCTTGAAGGGATTTTGTGTGTCTAGCCAGGAGAAGTAGAAGTGGTCTTCTACTGTAAAATATGCAGGGAACAAGAAAAAAAAGTGTCTTCAGTGGTTTTTACAGCACCAAGCACAGCTGTTAATTATAATTTGGTCCTTCTTCTACCATTTTAGAGAATTCTTTCTAATGTCAAGAACGAAGTAGATATTATGTAAAAAAAATTCCTTTTGGCTTTTTAAAAGAGAAAGTTACAAACATGTTCTTACTATAAATAAACGTGGTATGTATTTGCTGAGAAAAGTAGGTTACAGAGTGCAGTTTTCTTTTACAGCCATTTAGGAATAGTGCATGTGAAAAATGGTGCGTGTTCCATTTCTATTCATATATTAATATTAATAAATAACAATAAATCAGGTCCTTTTTTTAAACAATCATTTGATTTTTTTTTTTTAATTTGTTCTTCTTCCACTTTCATTATTCAGTTTGTAGTTTGTTTGTAGTGAAGCTGGACTTTGTTTGTCACCACTGGTGCTGCCGTAAAAACTTTGGTTTTATGAATGGTGTTGTATCTTTTTCTTGCTAAGACAATAAGATGTAATATAAATATAGTAATGCCTCTAATAGGCAACCAAGGGGACAGGAGGTAGAGCTGCAAATACAGACCAGGCTGCAGGATAAGTTTGATGTTTTTCTGTTTTATTTATTTTTCCCTTGCCCAGATATTTTCCATGGAGATCCGAATCATACAGTAGCATTTCATGTGCTGTAAAGTCATATCCTGATTTCTGACTGACAGTAATGATGTCTGACTTCAGCTGCCACTGAAGTCTTGTACTCCACGTTGGCTGGACTTGCTGCTAGCAAAAGATATATATGTATTTTTTCCTTAAGTAGCACTCAATGTTAACACTTTCAGAAAAATGTTAACACCACACCCAAAAAAGATTTTCTCATTTGCTATTAGTTTTGAAGCTACTCAGGTAAAATGTGGAATTCTATGTATGAGACTGAAAATAAAAAATTATTGGCTAAACACAGTAATCTGATTCTGTTTTGGCAAGGCTGTGCAGTGGCTCTCCCTTATTTACAGACTAAGGTCTGTTAATGTGCTTGGTTCTCTTTACTTTCTCTTAAAGAGTGATGTGGCCAAGTGTAGTCAACCAAGCCTTCTCACTGCTAGTTACATGATGGATGCTGACAGAAGAGAACAAACACCACAGCAAATCCTTTTTTAATTTATTTTATTTTTCCTTAAGTAGTTTCCCTTGGTTTGCTATGTAGAATTATAGTCTTTTTTTTCTGAGGATGTGAGTGTCAAGAGTGATCATTTTATAGTAGTTGGAATTAGGTCTTAATGCAAAAGGCCTTTCAGGTTTTAAAACAAATAAAAAAATGTGGATTTAATTTTGTATGTGAACACTATGCACTGTGAATTATTTCCAGCATGTTCTAGAAGAAACTGTGCTAACTCCTAAATAGTCATCTGAGCCAGAAATGTTGCTGTTCAAACAGAGGTAAAATAGGCATTGGCAGGGCTTTCACATGCTGGATGTAATCCCTGTCTTCCTAAGTTTTTACCAGTTACAGAAACCACTGACCTGTATATCATGTCCTTTCTGCTGACGTGTGTTTGGATTTTATTCTGGTTTCATCACAGCGATTTGAGCTGTGATGTAGAGAAATGCCAGTTGACAGAGTAAGGTTTGGTTTGGGCCGTGTAACCTCTGCAGTTCAGAGCAGGGCATGACCAAATGCCTCATGCTGCAGCTGACGAAGTTTTCATTCTCTTTCACAACCTACAGGCTCATTCCTTATAAAGAAAAAGAAGTGCTACCTGTCAACGTTTCATAGAATTTTTAGTAAAATAATGGATCAAAATTGTGTTATGTGTGACAGTAATGTGCAGTGCTGCTTGGAAAGTACAAATTGGCTCTTCTTGCTTCTGGGTAAAGCTGGAAAAGGCCTCAATTTATCTGCAACTTACTTTAAAGTAAAATAAAATTCTGGTATCGTAAGTATTTGAGGCCACTATTATATTAGCATGTAATGCTAACCAGCACTGGAAATGTTTTGACCTTCTTCTGAAAGCCCACCAAACAAGTAATAGGTTGGTGAGTTTGGTTGCAGATATGCATTAGTGGAGGGATGGAAGCCTGTGTGTAAGAACTTACTGATTAAAATGCTGATGGATGATTCGAACATATACATGATTTGCTTTATTACTGTCAAGATTTAAGATGAATAGTCCCCATGGAATGTTTCTCAAAAATTAGAGAAAAGAGGGAAAAGCGAGGTTGAGATGTGCAGTGTAATTACTGAGAGCAATGGCAATGTGTGCTACTGTCTCTGAGTTAATCTTAAGGCATGAAGATTAGGTAAAGAGGCCATTTATTCAGCTATTGTTTTCATTGCATTTGACTTCTTTTTTGTTGTTGTTGTTGTTGTTCTGAATCTCTTTCATTTAATGATAGTTTGAACAGCTTTAGTTTTTTTTGTCCAGCTATGTTTTGGATTGAATGGATAATATACTTTGGAAGTTGGCCTTCCTTGAAGCAACTGCAGTATTCATCTCTGTGCAACTCTGTGTGAAAACAAGAATTGTCTAAACCTTGAAGGGGGTAAAGAATGGGTCTTTGGTGCCAAAAGTACAACTCCACAGAGCAGGAATATGAGTGTGGTAAAGGAAGGTAGAGAATGAAAGTAACCCCGTAACTGCTCTGCAGTGTAGAATTAGTCTTGGGAGAATAAATAACTAATGAAAAATAACCAACAAAATAAATTCACGTTAGTTCAAGAAACAAGAGAATTCTTAAACTTGTGACCAGTACAGACTTCACTGGAAAATATCTTTGCAGGGGAAATAATTTTACTCCATTAAACATTGTTAATGATGTGTAGGGCCCTATAACAGCTGGGACACAGGCTGCAGGTCCCTCCTCAGGTCCTATCAGCTGTGCCTGAAGCCAGCAGGTTGATAATGTTGCACAGTGATGCCAAGAATATTTTGTCACTCCAGCAAGTGCTCAGCAATGGGCGATAATAAACATGATCTGGTTTCTTATTGCAGTCCCTCTAACAGCATTCATAAAGAGTGAAATTCTGGCATCAGTGAAGGAACGATTTCATCTACAGGGCCTGATCCAATCCCCCAGAAGTCATTGATAGAGTAATTTCATTGACTTTAATGGGACTGAATTGATTCTTTTAATAGTATTTTTCTTCCTGTCAGTAGTTCATTTGGCTTTGTTGCAGCCATTTACATGAGTAGTGGTATGAAACAGATTGAATGGCTGCACACTTTAACAGGGCACTAGAGGTAGTTTCATGCTCTTGGGGATCAGGAACCAGGAAATTTGTGAAAGAGTTGGATGGTTTTTTTGGTAGTTGGAACACACAAGTGTCTGTCAGTCCTGGATGCTCATCCAGGATTGAATTATTTACCAGTTTTCTTAATGAATTTCAAGTTGCGTTAGGTTATGTAGTGTTGTAGATAGGATATTTTCAGACAAATTGCAAAGTTCAGTTTTTTTTCTCTTCATCTACTCTTGGCTTGCCGGTTTTCAACAAAAATTTCACACTTGTGAAGGTGCCAACCTGCTTTTATTCAAACAGTGTTTTTCTTTCCTGCTGCATCTTGTGCCTTCCTGATAATTGAACTTCAAAATCACTATTTGTTTTAAGCATGAGTTTGAACATGAGCATGTTTGGGTGCTTTTGATTAGTTTCCTTGACTGCTTGGAGAGATGAGCATTTCTCCTGCTGGTCTGCAAAGATAATTTTCCCAAATAGATGAGAATTTTCTTTTTGATACAGGAGAAGAGCAATACGTTTTATGAGATGGTGCAACTGGGCCACAACTGGATTTATTTCATCTGGAGATTTCTCTAGAGGATGGCATGGCTTTCTTTCTCAGGTACTGCCATGGGTGTTGAATGCCCTGCAGCATTCTGGCAGCCTGTTGCTGGCCTTGTTCTACCACATGGCCCATAGAGGATAAACAAAAACTAAACAAACAAACAAACAAAACACTTGGCCCATTTTGTTGAGATTGCTGGGAGAAACCCCTTAATTCTGTTTTATCAAGGAATAAAATCTCTAATAGCAGGGATACAGAGAAATCTTTTCAAAAACTTAGTACTCTGTAAAATGTGATGCTTCCATGTTTTTTTCCCTCCCCCTTGCTTTGGGAGGTCTGTGTGTGTCCCAGAGGAGCAGCTGGCAGAAAATCTACATCCAAATAACAATCCTAGTGTGACGGCAATGCTACAAGCCAATTCCCTTGGCTGAATTTGAGGGGAACCAGTCCTGTGTGCTCCCTTCCCAATTGCAGAATGAGTGAATAGCACCTCAGCTTAGCTGATCTCTGCCCTGGTTATTCCTCTGACAACCCATTAAGGAGTGATTACCTCTTTATCCTTCCTTCTGTAAGGGCAAGTAATTCCTTCATCGTCAGATTTTGAGATCAGAGTCAATATGATCTTAGATAATGATCTTGGAGAAAACAGTCAAATTATGGATACAGCCTGAGTTTTTGGAGCTGTCATGAATCCAGGTTTTGATCAGACCTTTAAGGATTGTGAAACACAGGTCTTGCAGTTCTGATCTGGTGAAACCGATGAGCTCGTTTGTTCCCTTACCATTGATTTTATGCTAATAGAAGTCCAGATGAAATCAGCTGTCAGAATACACAGTGATGATATCTTATAAATCATTCTAATACACTGTGAAAATATTTACGAGCTTCCAAGATGAGATTTTTCCTGATTCAGGGAATCAAGGTATACTTTTCCCAGCAGGACTACAGTTACTTCATCCAAATTGCTCCTGTTTTAATTGGCATGCACTTCCTTTAAGCAGCTAGAAGATGAAAAATATTTGTCTTTGGCTCTACAGGAATGGAAGTCTGCTCTCCAAGATGCAGCCACCTGGGGGAGGAAGGGAGAGGGGAAGCTTGTACAACAAAAATCCATGACATCTTGGAAAAATAAAAACCTTTATCAGGATGGAGACTTTTTAAATGAGAAAAATGAGGGTAGTATTTTACTCAAGCTTTCTACTCTGAAGTCTTGTTACTTCCCAACTTCTTGTTGGGAAGATGTGTGTATATACGTGTGTGTGTGTGTATATATTTATTTCTCCACAGTTGTTTCCAAAATGCACTTTAGGAAAATTTTAACCCAGATTTCTTGTTTCTAAAACCTTGTTTCAGAAGCAATGGTAAGGAAAAAGAAATAACCACCTGGCTGGCAATATGACACTGTGTGTGAAATTAGTTTTTCAGTGACAGGAGGGAGGTTTTTGTCTTTCGCTGAACTTTATCTGTGGAGGTTTGGTTTCTCTGCAGATTATTGTCATTGGGAATGGTGAGACCCCTCCAAACCACAAACAAAGATCGTATCCAAGCCTGGTGTGGTAGCTGGATTTCTTGTAGAGCTCCTACATTTCATCCACTTGGAGTCATTTAACCTGTTCTGCTGACGCAAGTCGTGTAGCCCAACTGATGGGGGAATATTGCCATATACCAACCTCAAGTTTTCTATTTCTAAGCTTTATGTTAAAGGAATATTAACCACTTAGTGGCCATGTGGTCATGTGTCAGCTATGCTAACCTGGTACACCATCTGGCAGGGTTCCTGTGCTTTTCATAGAAGAGATTCAAGGATCAAATGAAGCTGGCATATCTTGTTCCACAGGATTAGAGAGATGCATTATCAGTGAATAATGTTAGTCATGCTTTGTGCTTCCTATATTTTACCATCTGCCTTTCAAAAATGTGAGATGGTGTTTCCCTGGTGTCACTGCACTAGGTGTATCATGAAGAGCTTGAACTCAGGGATTTGTTTTCAGAGCACTGGAGGAAGCACAGCCTTCATATTTGTTGCTTATTGATCAATATTTAATTGAAGGTGAAATAAAAAATTAAGCAGGCAAATGCAAAATTAGCAAGCATGTGCTAAAAAGCAATATTGCTGTGAAATTCTTAGGAATGGAAACAAAAATATTAATGTATAGGGGTGGCACAGTTGGTCAAAAGAAATGCTTTCTTGAGAGAGGTGAACGCATCCCACAAAGAAGAATGTGTGGAAAACATAATTGACACCAAATTCAGTACCAGGAGGCTCACATTAGAAAAATGCAATTGTTTTTTTGCTGTGCTGTTGTTGATTTTCTTTTATTAGAGAAGGCTTTGCAAAAACTAACCCTAGAAGCTGTCTGTTAGGTGAATGGTGCATTTCTGTTGCTTTTTTTTTTTTTTAGTGTTCAAGATCTTTAGGTGTATTAATCTCTGGAATATTTTTTTTTTTCCCACTGGAAGTAAATAGCAGGCTGTCATTTTAGTTATTATGATCAATGCCTCCTTTCTTCCTAATATTTTCTTACTTATCCTTTGCCATGACCAAATCTTGGTTTGCTTTTGGTAACTATCAACAACAGCTTACCATACTCAAAGCCAGGAAGAGTCTGAAATTATTTAAGAAATGAGTGGTGGAAAGGTTATCGTCAGCAGAAGCTGTGGTGATTCAGTGCCTCTTGGGATGAAGTCTGTTTTGCAGGACATCTGTGACTTCTGCTTCTTGCCATTTTTTTTCAAAATAATGCTACAGGCTGATGCTATTTCTGTTCAGAATAATGATCCATCCTGTTTATAAACAGATGAAGTGATAATGAAGGCCTTTTCTGCATGCTTAATGTAAGGAATTGTCATGAAATTAACTGTTCCTGTGACCACTGTCTGGCATACAAGCATGGAAGGCTTGTGTGGTAGAGCAGGATATCTTCTCCTTGGCAAATGAAAGCCCATTTTTACTGCCGCTCCCAGTTTCTCTTTACTGCTCACTGCAAGCTATGCTTTGTGCCGAAATCCTTATCTTGAAAAGTAAAATGTGACAGAGTTGGCAGTAGCTCTTAGCACCAGAATGTCTGGCAATGAATAGGGAGGGTGGAAGAAGAGAATGGCGGTCGCCTGCCATTTTTACTGCATCCTACAATATTGTAAAACTTCAGTGTTGTTTTTCTTCTTTTTTTCCTCTCAAAATCAAAGAAATGTTGAGTTAGCTGTTAGAGCACTGATAGAGATTCAGTTTGTCTCGTTGATGAAAGTGTACCAGGCAGCTCCAGAGCAGGTAGTGTCATTAGAAGCAAGGAGGAATTAATGAATGCAGTGGGCTTGATCTTTCTCACATGCAGGGCAGTGGCAATGCAGTTAGTTTGGAAATACCAAGCCTGTGTGTTATGTTATCTGTGTGTGGGCAGGAGATTATATTTGATGCATAGATGTAGCACTGGGGCTTGAAACACTTTGGGATCCTCTTTGTGTGAACTCATATCCACGGTGTGGTGCCATACCTAGATGGCTGAGGCTGACAGGTCTGAATCAGAAAGCTGCTGGGGCTGTATAGGGGCCTTTTTCATCACAAGAAAACAATTCCAAGGCCTATAGATTTAACAATGCACAGGCATTCACACACTTGAGGCAAAAATGAAACCTTTAATCTCTGTTAAAACTCTGTGCCAAATATAATAGCTGCTTTCGGCAGTATTTAAACCAACTTCATTAAAGTATGGGAAGGGGAAAGAGTTTAAAGGCTGATTTTTAGCAAGTAATCAGCTGCCTCCCAGATGGTCCAAATGTGGCTTTCTCAACACTACGCACGGTAAAACAAAAAAAAAAAGATGGAGCCCTGTGCAAGTATAGCTGTGTATATGTGTGTGGGATGCTAGCAGGCCTGTGGCTGTGTAGGCTGTGGGCAGTGTAGGGAGGACAGCCCCCAGCTGCCCCTCCCCTGTGCTGCAGCTCCAACAGCTCACAGTGCTGCATTTGAGTGTTTTCTCACTTTTGTGGGGTAGTTTGCCTGCACAGCACTGAAGCTGCAAGATGAGATGTATGTACACGTATTCTGAATTTCTGAGGGGTGGCTGTATCCTGTCCTTGCACTGAAAAACACTTCTACCTTACCCACTGTACAAACTAATGGTTTAATTATTTTTTGTTACTTTGCTGCCTTTAAGCTTGCCTGTGTTCTGGTCAGCTGAATGACTGCTGTGGATGTACAAACCAGCACACGTACTGGAGGCACATATCTAGTGTGCTGGACTAAGCGCTTGCTTGTTAATATTTATGAACCATCTCATTTGGCAATTGCTCTTGGGACTTGATTAAAGTATGCAACACTGCTATTGGTGCTTTAACTGTAGAGAGCTTTACCTAAGAGCTAGTGGTATCCTTGTTGTCCATGCTAGCTTTGACCACCTGCAGCATTTCACAGGACATCTGTACGGTGTTTCTCTGTAGATGTTCTTAAATGACAAGTCGAATTGCATCGATAGAATGAATTTGAATTCATCCTTGTGAAGAATCGTTGCTCACCCTTGTAATGAGTGCTTTCTATTTGTTCCGAAAGGTCCAGAGGAAGAAATGACCATGTAGATTCTACAGCCTGGGTGCTGCATAATGGGAAATGGTGAATGGAGCGGAACTGGTCTGCAGCCTTGAAAGCAGCTGTTCTGCGGACCACTAGTCGGTCAGGGGCACCTTGCACACCAGAGGCATTCTCCACGTCGCTCACTGGACACATGCTGGATTGTTTTTAATCCTAGGCTGGAATTCGAGGCTCGTCTCCTTCAGTTTTTAAAAGATTTTAAGCTTCTATCAACTCTAACAAGTGGAGCAATATAATCAGTAACCATGGGTGACATGACAAATAGTGATTTTTATTCCAAGAACCAAAGAAATGAGGCCAACCATGCAGGAGAATTTGGGTGCACCCTGCAAGAACTGCGCTCCCTCATGGAACTCCGAGGAACAGAAGCAGTGGTAAAAATTAAAGAGACATATGGGGAAACAGAGGGGCTCTGCAGGCATCTGAAGACATCACCAACAGAAGGTAAGCTAATTTTCCTTCAGTTGTATCAGGGGACTTTGCATAAATTCTCTCTGGAGAGTTCAAGAGAGGTTTTATTTTAAACATATAATTCTCATATATAATTCTCATGATGCTGTCCATTGTCCCTAACAACAATAAAACAAAAGAGGACTTTACAGGGAAAGAAGAGGAAAACAGTCACTCATTTGCCTAGCGATAGCTAAGGATAGCATGAGAAGGTGCTGCTTATTCAAACAAATGAGCGTGTGTTATTTCTTTGAAATGCAGTCAAAAAATATCAGCACCTCTTTTATGACCTCTTACTTAATTCTGGAGGGAGTAAGAAGGTGCAGACTAGTTGCTTAAATAGAGTTTTTAGGTGTTTACACATCTTGAGAATATAAAATTAACTTTTGAGGTATGTTATGTTCCTTTTTAGATCAATACATAATATATTTTGTGGTTACTAGTCGTAACTCCACATTAAAATTATACCACAGATAATTTTAATAATTACCAACGCATAAATATGTTGGTGTTTTTATTGTTTGGGCTGCTTTTGTACTTATAGCTATGCTCCTTAATTTTTTATGTTCAGTGATGCCATTCATAACTTCTCAATATCTATTCTTCTAAGTGCCTCTGGAATTTTCTACCTGGTCAGCAGTCATTTGTCTGGTTTTCAGCACCATCATCGTATTTTCATCTCCAAAGATACTAACACTTCTGGAAATTATACAGTATTTCAATCTATAATGCTTATGTTGTCTTGTAGTTACATCTTAAATTTTCTTTTTCAACGAGATAAAAGTTTTAACTTTGCTTCTTTCTCGTCTCTTAACTAAATGAATTTTTATTTCCTCTGTTTCAGTGCTTGAAAGTCTTGATTTATTGGTGTTATCACAAACATGTAAATTGTGAAATTGATAATATCACATTATGTGATACTGCAAGTTGAAGAGTTCCAAAGGAGCAGCTATACCTAATCTTAAAGTAAATTTTTCATGACCCTACCCTTGATCTTATACAATCTCAGAATTTTTAGACATGAGAAAGTGAAGCTGTGAATAGTGCTTTCTCAGAATGGGATTATTAAATGAATTTTGTATTTAAATGAAACTGTGATCGTGCTTCAGCATTCATGTGCTGTCTTGTATTCTAGGATAATTAGTGACAAGTGGCACCTTTTCATACATAATTTTTCATTTTCTACAAGTATCTTCTCTTATCCAGAGATCACTCTTTCTGGGAGGGGTAAGGTAAGAAAATGGGTGCATGCCACCTGCCTGAGATATCCTGATGTCCATCAGTTTTTCAGACAGGGGCCTAAGGGCTGTTGCACACCAGATAATCGACTCCTCAGGGAACATGCACCAGTTCTGATATATCCCTGATGCGTGATGGAGGATTCCAGACAGAAGTGCAGAATCCCTGTTTTTACATAACAAAGATTGACTTAAATATATTCCACTTGGGATTTAGCACATTCAATATTCCTCAGTGCATTGTAGAACGCCAAAGATGAAGTCCCAGTTTGGGAGCACTTTAGTGACTTTACTAAAAAGTTCTGCCAACTTATTCTAGTGGCTACCAGGTCAATGTGAACTTCAAAGGAAATGTTAATTGCATTATCTGTTCAATTTGTGACATCAGGGAAACTTAATTCCTCATATTGGAACAGAGTGTGTGGATCCAACTAGTGTGGCATGCTGACTCCAGCAGTAATCTATATCTGATACTTCAGATAAGGTAACTTTCCTCTGAGCCTTACGTATGCTTCATCACTTGTGCATTAGGGAAAAACATTTCCAGCTTCAAATGGCAATCAGCATAGCCTTGGAATCCTGAAGACTCTGCTGGGTTTTAATTTTAAATTAGATAATGGAGTAAATGTTCCCAGCCATACTAAGCTTTGGTCTTATTTTTGTTTTCCATGGAAAAAATACTTTTAAGAGAGAATGTCTCTGAAATGTTCTGTTGAACACGCAAATTTTCATTTGAAAAAAAAGCATCTATAAGAATTCAATAGAAAAACTGTGTCAAGTGTTTGTTTAGACATAAGTCCTAGCCATCCCTGTTCTTGTATCTAAGTATAAAAATATAAGCATACCATGATACAGTGAAGAAGATATCCTTGAAGAAATGACTGTTCTCAGAGGAAGGAAACAAAATAAGTTCTTGTATGGAAGGGGAATTTTAACATCAATTAGGCACAAGTTACAGATCAATTATTGATGTATGTAATAGATGCTCCCAAAGAGTTGGTTTCATTTATTTATTTATTTGGGTGGCATGAGGAGCAAGCCTTGGATTCCCCAAGGAATGTTGTTATGCAATCCCATACCTTGCCACAATGCTTGCAAATCACTTTTCCAACCACCCACCTTCCTTTTTCTTCTGGGTGAACAGAGTGGGAGGATGAAGTGTATTTAATACAACTGCCACTGTTTTTGTTGTTATAGTTTGGAGTGCTATGGATTTTATGGGAAAAAAAAAACAGAATAAGCATCACTGCAGGGAACTGCTTCTTCTTTTAATAAACCCAAAATCTTGCTGAACAAAAGTCCTAGGAGGATATGAATGAAACTGCAAAAAGCACTTGTGTTGAATTTGCTCTTCCTTGTTTTGTGAGCTCTTTTGGAATTTGTTTTCCAAAAGTCTGGAGTGTGGCTTCAGTAGCTACTGAACAGAGGGGAACAAAATCCTGGAAACAGGCACCTTTCAATTTGGCCTAATCTGAATTTTTATTGGCTTACTCAATATTTAGAAAATTTAGAAAAATAGCAATTAGTCCAGTGATTTATTCAGGAATTAATTTTCCGTGTTAGTATTTGACGTGCTACCTATGAATTGGTAGAATCATTCACTTACACTGGATATGCCTTTTTGGGGCTTTGTTTTGTAGGCCTTGAACTTCTCAAAGTAAGACGTTCTGCGTAAGTTAAATGTTAGGCTGCTGTGCAGGTACTTAGCAGTGTTTTCTGAATTCAGTTAATACTAAAAGTCTGCTGAATTTTGAGTCTGCTGCGTGTTGAATGAATTCATAACATCATGGATTACAAGGCTTCAGTCTTAAAATTTTCTTTGATCTGTTTTCTAAGTATAGATGCTGTGCGGGTCTCAGCTCTCGGTTATGCCTAAGGGATTTCCAGCATTATAATGATTATATTATAATGAAAAGCTACCAGTGCTCCTAGAAGCAATCTTCTCAAAACCAATAGAAATCTGTAGTATGAAAAAACACAACTACACATCTCCTTGAATTTTCTTTTAAAATATTTATGCTGAGATTAGTTTCACTTTCATTATTCTAATAATACCGAAAATAAAAGAGGATCTAGCTATCTGTCATTCTTCAAAACAATGTTGTATGATTTTCTGTGCTGAGTCTCTGGGGCACACTTGAGTTGTCTCCCTCCCCCTCCTCCTGCCCAACATTCCCATGGAGAATCTGGCTGCCCACACTTCAGATAGGTGTGTGCTCTGATGGGTGAAACACTGGCTGGATGGCTGGACCCAAAGAGTTGTGGTCATTGGAGTTAAATCCAGTTGGCTGCAGGTCATAAGAAGAGACCCCTACAGTTTGGTACTGGGGCTGCTTCTATTTAACATCTTTATTAATGATCTTGATGAGGGGATTGAGTGTACCCTCAGTAAGTTTGCAGATGACACCAGGTTGGGAGGGAGTGTTGATCTGCCTGAGGGGAAAAAGGAACTACAGAGGGATCGATGGGCCAAGGTTAACTTGGTTAACAGGCTTACTGGTGGACAGTTGGTTGAGTATGAGCCAGCAGTGTGCCCAGGTGGCCAAGAAGGCCAATGGCATCCTGGCTTGGATCAGGAATGGTGTGGAGAACAGGACTAGAGAAGTCATCCTGCCCCTGTACTTGGCATTGGTGAGGTCTCACTTTGAGTACTGTGTTCAGTTTTGGGCAGCTCAGTACAGAAAGGACATGGAGGTACTGGAGCGGGTCCAAAGAAGGTCAACAAGGCTGGTGAAGGGCTTTGAGAATATGGCCTGTGAGGAGAGACTGAAGGAACTGGAGCTGCTCAGTCTCAGGAAGAGAAGAGGAGGCTAAGAGCAGACCTTATTTCTTTCTTCAAATACCTGAAAGGTGCTTACAGTGAGAGCAGGGTTGGTCTCTTCTCACTGGTGACAGGAGACAGGACAAGGGGAAATGGCCTCAAGTTGTGCCAGGGGAGGTTTAGATTGGATATCAGGAAAAACTTCTTTACAGAAAGGGTGGTTAAGCACTGGAACGAGCTCCCCAGGGAGGTGGTTGAGTCACCATCCCTGTGTTAAAAAACTGTTTGGATGTGGTGCTCAGAGACATGATTTAGCAGAGGGTTGTTAGTTAGGGTAGCACGGTTAGGTCATGGTTGGACTTGATGACCTTTAAGGTCTTTTCCAACCTGAGCAATTCTATGAGTCTCTGATTCTAGTGATACTTTATAAAGAATGGCTGATAAAAGGTGATGAATTAGTTGGATGAATACCAGGTAAGAAAGAATATATTAAGTAATAGTATAGTGTGTATGTGTATATATAACTGAAATATATTATTTCCCAATATGGATGTTGACTGTTCTTTACCTACAATTTTATATAATGTGCACGAGTTTACATTAAGTTACTCAACTACAGTCCCTTCATATAATAAAAAATATTCCTTATAAGAATATGTTATTGAATTCACTTCCACAATTTCTTGCTTGGAACTTGGATGTAGTAATTTCTAATATGCAAGAAATGTGAAGCAGTGCATAATTATGTTTTTCTTTTTTTTTTTTTTTAAATAAATAAAAGTCTTTTATCCTGGTAATATTTGCTCTATCAGGCCTGAAGCCAGAATTCCAAAAGATGTTGCATATTGGTATCATATTGCAGCACTGCAGAAGTTGTTTTGTTTGCATTAAGTACTTACCAAGTAGATAAAATTTCTAGAGGTGATCTGGTGGAGTGTGAGAGCATTTAAGATGTGAGCCATTGGAACCTACTGTTAATGTGAAAATGCGAGTTGATTTTTTAAGACGTTTTTAACTGTAGTTCTCTTAGGATACTGTAGAAAGGTTTCATGGCAAGAGAAAGTATCAATTAACGGTTAAATGATAGTATTTTTAGTGGTTGACTTTTTATTGCCATAACAGTCCTTAGTTAAGGTAGATGTTTGGGTTTTTTTTCCTCTCTCACATTTGTTATATAGGAAAAACATTCCTAATACCAATTAAGCCAACTGTAGTTGGCTTTCATTAATAGAGTCTGAAAAGCATTTTACAGTTTTAACTGAGGGAAAAAATGAACCAAGCCAGATGAACTGGTTGCTTTTAATATTTACTGGATCTGGTTTCTCAAGAGTGTGTCTATAAAAATACACCATTAATAACTTAATGTACTGTTTTTTGAAGTTAATCTTGCTTAGTACATGTGGAATTTCAATTAGGTACACCACTCAGTTGTTTTACATTAAACGAGCTATAGGTATATACAATTAGAGAAAGGAATGAAAGATATTGGGACAGATAGAAAATAGAAATAAAAATGGTAGATTGCCAGAAATTGAAATTTGTGAAAATTACTGTGAAAGGGGAAATGGCTTCAAAATAAAGAGGATGGATTCAGATTGGGCATAAGGAAGCAGGCTTTTTTACTATAAGGGTGGGCAGGTACTGGTACGGGCTGCCCAGAGATGTGGTGGAAGGCCCTGTCCTGTAGATGTTCAAGGTCAGACTGGAGGGGCTCTGAGCACCTGATGGAACTGGTGTCCCTTTTCAGTGCAGGGGAATTGGACTAGGTGACCTTTATGGATCCCTTCCAACCCAAAAGATTCTATGAATCTATCAATATCATACTCATGCAATCTTTTTTAAAAAAATATTTTTTAAAAAGTTATGTCACCAGCTCTCTTACTTCAAGAATTTGGGT